CCCCCCCCCCCCGAGTTATTCCACGTCCCCCCCGGACGCGTGCCGTGCTGTACGCGTCATACGAAGCCCTTGCCACGCTTGCCCTTCGTCTTGACCTTCCCTCTCGAGCCTCCGTCCCATTCCGGCTTGAGAGCTTCCACGATCACCTGATGCATGCAAGAAAACACAACAAGCAGTCAGCCAAGAAGCAGGACCGGTGGTTGTAGCCGACGGAAAGCTCGTGGCCATCCTACGACCTATCCACGACAGAGGTCGCGGGTACGATTGTTTGGGTGTCCCCGACTCGGCCTGGAGCAGCCGCCAAAAAGGCACAGAAATCAGTCGTGGCATGTGATGTGACAGAATACTGTGATGTCCTTTACAAGATGTTGCTATGAAGCATCTTGCCCTCCCTCAAAGGTCGGCTTGTCTCCCACGAAGTGATTACCACTTAACGACAAGGGTAAAAACGTCTCCCGGAAAACTCTCAAGCTTGCATTGCCGCAATTGTGCGTGTTATCGCACCCCCGTGTTAGCGTTTTTTTTTTTTTCTGTAGCGTATTCCTCCGCAACCAGGGAGGTATCACCTCCGAAAAGGGTGGTTTTGGAAACATCTCGTCGAGGGCTTTCCGGAGAGGTACCAGTTGGTGTTCGCACCCTCCTAGGTGTGGAGAAAAACGCTATAGAAAAACGCAATAGAAGAACGCGAACGCGGGGGTGCGGTAACACGCACAATTACGGTAGTCCCATACAGGTCTGATGGTCGTTGGCACACACGTGTTTGTGGCTCCCCCGAAGGATGGGAGGGAATCGCGGGTGGAACAGCCGCCCCAGGTTCGGGCAGGCGTTTCACATTACGCTAGAAACGGATCGTTGGGGAAGAATCAGTGCTTCTCTTTTCTCGTGCAAGCCAGCAAGGGACAGGGTACAATGCCTTGCTCTTCCTGTTCTCTTACCTTAGCACCCGTGGTGGTCACGACCTTCCCGTCTCGGTACCGGGTAGTCTTCTTCTTCTCCGTCAAGCCAGCAAGGTCGACCTTCTTCGTCGCGACTTTCGTCGCGCCACCTTCTGCCTGTTGAAGGCGGAGGCCGAGAGATAGAGAGAGAGAGAGAGAGAGAGAGAGAGAGAGAGAGAGAGA